ATACTTTCTTTTTTGAGAAATCTTAGCTACCTAAACTACTAGGAGATTACTCATTCAAACTCTCATTTTTCCTTTTATGAAAGAAAAGGGAAACTTACATACCAGTAATTATGGTTGTAGTAGACCTTCTTCTTCTATAAAACCCCTATAAGACAAGATTCCACACAGCAAAAATTATAGTTCCACCTATCAGGGAGCTAGCAGGCAAACATGCTGAATCACAGGAGGTATGAATAGCCAGGCCTACCCAGTCACTTATAATGCAGACCAAAAATGCAACTGACTTAGAAGAGATTCATAAACGTGTAGAAAAGACAAAGATCTTTGTAAGAGATGATTGGAAGAAGGTAGGATGGGAAAAGTAGAACGGTAACGACAAACACAATTACCAGTACGTAATTTTTCCTTGTCGCACTTCTCTCTCTTCCCATCCTACAAAACAATATTCCATACAGCAAGTGGCTACAAGTACGATGAGTGTTGTAGAAGTACCAGCTTCTGGGCATACTGACAAATATATCAGCCTTCTAAAACGCTGATCAACAAAGCCAGCACTCAAAGTACAGATTTAAATGAAGTTGTTATCACTGCTCAACTGGTAGCAGCACATTTTTAAAAGACCGTTAGCAAGAAATCATCAAGGGGACTTCTGTTTGTCTGGAAGCAGTTGGGCTTTGGGTTTTTTGTGTGCTTGGGTTTCTTTGTTTTGGGTTTTTAATGTAGTGGTTAATCCACTGGAGAAATAAGAAAGTTTTACACTTTTATTTTTCCAATACAAATGAATATTTAGCTATTTTAGCAATTTAAAATATTTTTGGATAAAAAGAATTTCTCAAGACTCCCAGTAAATTTGGAAGCAAGTAACATTTTCAGGTCTGGTGCAAAAAGCCTTAGTCTCACTGAGGATCAATACCACTCAGGCTTCCACCAAGTTAAGTTTTTTTGAAAAAAAATTTCCTTTTTACAAGGATAACTTCAAACCACCAAATCCTCTTCAACAGGACTGGAAATTCCTGCTTAGACACAGGAATTAACTATCAAACAAAGCCACTAGCCAATGACTGGATTGACTGCTGCGTGACTGGACAATTTCAGAGACAAATTAGACTAAGATATTATTGAATTATCTTCAAGATTAAAGCTTGCAGGTGGAAGTTCAACAACTAGCAAACGCCTCTTTCATATACCTAAAAGGAATGAGAAGCAAGAAAGGTACTTTTGCTGAAAGCAAAGAGAGCTATAATGCTGCCGGGCACTAAAGGAAGCCTGCATGACACTACAAATGACAAGGATGGAACGAACGGAAGACGCTCTCCTTTAACAGCACCATAAGCATGAGAAGGCAGCAGTCTGCCCCTGAAAGCAGCGCAGAGGCAGAAAGCAGTGAGAGCATAACTTAACATTTGGGTAGTGCAAGGGGTAGCATAATTGTACTGCTGCTACCTAAACATGTCTCACCGAGAAGAAAGCCTTCACTCAGAAAACTGTTTCAGCTCTCTCACTTTCAGGTATATACCAAAATGACACCTGCAACTGTTGAGAGAATTATAAAGTCTATTGGCCTATAAAGAGAGTGGGTGGTCCGTCAGATAATCAGATGTGTGATTTAAGCTTGCTCTAAACTGTAACATTTACTAGATCGCGTGAAGAAAAATTCACCTTTTGACTTAATTTTCATGCCCTCCTCATAATTTTTGCACATAGATATTAAGTAGTAGCAAGACAAATTCTAAACATCACACTTTTAATGCACTTTTAACATATTTCAGCTTGGGTCTCAATGAAAAGTTTTCCAAATCAGCATTACCACCTCCTGCCCAAACTCAGAGTGTAACTTCTCTCCTCATGTAACATTGCTTTTGATACACCATCATCATTTACAGTTGAGATGGCCTCACTGGAAAGAAATTAGCTTACAAGGAGTATGCCATAATACTAGCACATTAAAAAGAACACTGGTGCAGTGAGAAACCTTGGTCTGCAGTATTTGAAGTCTTGTAAAGAACCAGATAGTACCTAATCCTTCAAGTAGTTGTATTTAATTTTTATTCCTTTTTGTATTGATCAAGCTACAAATGACATGCCAGGAAGAAGACATATTACGGAAAAAGAGATGCTGAAATTATGATTATCTTGTTATAAAATAGCTGAATCACCTCAGATGAGACAGTCTTCTGACTCCGTGATACAGAAAGCACAAAGAAAGATGAACTGATTTGTATTAGACACGTGCCTTCACAAAAATGGCGACTAGTATCAAAATCCACATCTAAATGTGATAGAGAAGGAATTAGATGCAACCTCTCACTAACCATCAGCCCAGCAGTGTCAGCTCAGACTCAGTTTCCAACCATATATATTATCTTTATCAAGGAACTCTGTTCAATATCCTTAAGAGAGAAGGAAGGGGGGGGAGACATCCCTATAGGCTTTTATACAATGACTACCTTTCCCAACCTGGTATTTTAACGTTCCTTTTTTGTATCTTACAAACACAGATTTTCTTTCTTTTACTCTGGCCCCTCCCCCTGCCCCAGGTATCCTGTTTGCTAATCTCATGAAAAGTGAGAATGTCAGCACAAAAAAATCACTTAGTGAAAACATCTGATAGAGGCAGAATCTTTTCTCTTCCCACTCAGATATACTTCCACACTGCCTGGACACAGTGGTATGAAGTTTTACCACAACAGACACTGGCAAACCAGGCTGAGATGAACTAAAGCGGTTCCTCGGCGTCCATTGTTCTACCACTACACACTTTCTGTGCACGACGGGCTCGTGTTGAGGGTCTGCAGTGGTCTGTAGGTATACGAAAGGGGTACACGTCCACTGATCATACAGCGAGCAGTCAAGAAACCAGATATTCCTATGCAAAACTGGGATGCTTAAAAACTAGACTGACCTTTGAAACTGATGAGGAAGATGACATGTCTAAGAATGGAGTCTGGAAGCAGGAAAAAAAGACCAAACAGAAGACTGAAATGGACAGACTTATCTTCAGAGGAGTCCCAGCAACAGTTATAAGAGTTCATTAAAAACAGTGACGTAATGAAGAAGAAAGCATTGTTTAAAATTGATCAAAGAAGGCTCTTCTAAAAAGCTTCTTAAGAGTTCATCAGAAAAACAGTGGAAAATCAAAAGATTCTGAATCAAAGATAAGAGAGATGAATCAAGTCCAGTGAATTCAAAGAAGTGGAAGAACAGTGTTTCTGAGCACTCCCACAATACTTACGCTCAAAAACAGGGACAGCACTACCAGAACCTGAAATCCACATGAGGGGAAAACACAAGAGAAATGATTGTAGAAAGAGAGAGACTTAGGACTTCAGGATATTACGCCCACTATTTGAAAGGGAAGAAAAGTGAGATCATGAGGAAAAGGGAGGATCCTACATCTACAAGTACTTACAGTTCGATGGAGGGAGAGAAAGACTGAGCAGTGCCTAAGGAGACAAGGACAGGTATTCCGCTAATGGACATGTGGCTATATCAGAACTTCAGAGGCACTTTTTAAATGATATCCCATAGAGGGGATACAGATGAAGACAGAAAAAGGTGTTTTGATTGTCCTAAAAGATAAAATATATTAACCCTGTGAAGACTGTGATCTGCAGTATTAGTAGAGAATTTCTTTTTATTGGTCTATTTTTTTTTTCTCTACCTCCCTCTTCTCCTTTCTTCTTTACTTCTTTCCTTCTTCCTTCTGAGATACATTAAAGGGAAAAAAGGGAGACATAAGATTAGAAACACAAGTACCTAAAGCAAGGACTAAGAAAGGATTCACCATTCCTAGTAAGAGGTAAAGATGACCAAGAAAAAAAAAAAAAGGAAAGTAAAGTCTGGCTATGTATTTTTACCCCCTGTGATTCATGAACTCCATGCCTTCTAGCTTCCTGGCAGTTGGAGCTGTTATGCTTGCTGTATGGAATTTTGTCTTGTAGGATGGGAGAACAGTGGATATGAAACTGACAACCCTTTAAAAGTTCCAATTTTACCTTAAACAAAAGTATTTTTAAATATCAAAAAGTTTGCAGTCTACATATGATCCCTAGCTACAGGGAACAACGCAACGTTGACAGATGGGAAACACTAAGACAACATAATACAAAATAGCAAAATACAATTGGTAATTGTTGTATGAAAATCATGTCTTCTTAAAACGCCTTTCAGAACGAACATTGGCAATTATGGTAGGTCCAAATAAACTTCGATAATAACAGCAATTTGACAGCTCCTGTAATACTGCAATAACAAAATTTTTACTTTCTTCCAAAGAATACAGAATGGATTTGACTTTGCTCCAATTTTGAGGGACACTAACCCTCTGAATCTCATGCATCTTTAACAGGCTGTAAAAGACTGGTGCTACACCATTCTAAATCCACATCCATCTTAATAAAGCAGTTCAGTTACTAACTTCTTGGTGAAACTGTAATTTCATCAGCTAATTTTGTCCTTAGAACCAATTGCCTATATAGCAGCAAATTCAAAAAAGCAATATATTGTAATATTTAAGGAAACAAAACTTACTTCCGAAGTTTGCCTTCAACCATCCATTTATCTCTCCTTAAGTTTGACATATAATCAATGTTTTTATCAATTTCACTGTCAAAGACAAAATAATCCATTAACTGTGAACTTGCATATCTTCTTCTGACAGACATTTATGTACAGATACTTTGTCACAAAGATCTATCTTGAAGAAATGTTTAAAATTCAAAATCAATAATAAATAAAGCTAGGAAATTCCCATACTAGGAATGCCAGGTAGCATACTACTGTACCTATGGCAGGCAGACTTAATTTACAGTATCATGTCAGTTTTCTGTCCATAAGAAGCATGTCATTCAAAGAATGTGTCATCTCTTGCCATAGTTCTAATTCAGTGTCAAGCCTCCGGATGCATTTGCCCCAAAGCATCTAGCCCTGTGCTGAAAACGAAGTTATCACTGGCACATCTATGGGATTCTAACTAGGATCCACATGATCTAAACACCAACGTTCACTTTTCACTGCAGAAATTGAAGAACCAAAAAGAAGTGCTTCAGTCAGTGACCCTCTGCGAGCCCACTTCTGAGACATTCCAGCCTCAGCCTCAACAATTTAGCAGGTAGTAGTTGCTTCTGTGATGAAACTATAGAAATCCAAGTTCTGAATGATTTTTTCTACAAATCTAACTTAACAGTTGATCTCCTGCTGTAAGATAAAGGTCCTTACTACAATGAACTTGATTCATACACGTGAACTCTCCTGCACAGTACAGGCAAAGCACTTGCACTGCCCACTCCTGCTGGTTTTCAACTTTGGAAAACATGAAGCACCCCTTTCATTCTTGCCTTACACAACCCTGATTTGCTGATACAGCACAGTACACCAAAAGCAGCAGAATTCACCAGGAAACAGAACGGCACTCAAATAAAAGACTTTACCACAGTAAGTATGCAGAGGTAGAGTGATCCCAATGATTGGTGTTTCCCAAGTTTTTATTTATACATTGTTGGGTTTTAAAATATTAACACGGGGGTGGGGGGTGGGGGGTGGTTAATTATGAGATGCTATATATGACCCTCGTTAAAGTATTTGGACAAAATAGGTCTTAAAAAACAAAAGGAAAAAAGGGGAAACAGAGTGCTCCAGAATCCTTACAGAACTCTTCTAAATTATTCCCTAGAATACCTAGTAAATTTAGTTGTAATTAACCTCATCTTTTACTCCAAAAACAGCGGAAGAAATTTTGGTGCAAGCTTTGAAAATGAACTTACAGACCGAACATGGAAAAGTTCTACTCTTCCATCATATCAGAAGTACATAAACATAAGAAGCAGTAACACAGCAAATTTCAGCTTTCACTATAACATCAAGAACCCACCAGTAACAGAACACAGTGTATACAGCATTTTTGGATACCATTTTTATAATTTTATTTTTAGAGACCTGTTTGGGAAAAATCTTACCTTACTACACTTTTGCTGCATGCTAACTCATTGACAAGAAAAGCGAGTACTGATGCTTTCTGAGCTGGACTATGTGCCTGAAAAGCTTTTGTCCTCAAGCTGTCTGTCAGCTCAGTCTGCCCACAGTGAGCCTCCATGAATATCTGCAGAATCTCAGACACATTATCTCGATTGATGCCAACATTCAGTAAGTGTTCCCCAAGAATAGTTTTAGCCTAAAAAGAATAAAGACGTTTTGAACACCACATTTAAAAATATTATTTTCCTCTGCAGGCTATACTTTTGTTTATATAACAGTGGGGTGGCTTTGTCTGCATTGTTACATAAGGACTTTAATCGGGATTTTTCTTTAAAACCATTCAAGTGTAAATCTTGACTAGAGTAACAAATTGGAATGTCTTCATCTCTTAAGAACAGAGATAATGTTAATATTAATTAATAGATTAAATGAAAGACATGGTCCAACCGGAACTTGATGAATACTGTTTTGTACAATCATGCTGTGTAAAGTTCTAGAGTAGAAAAGAGCTATGTTGGCTTGAAAAAGAAGGATAATAAGGAAGAGAATCATGAATGAACCAGAGTTTTCATGGAAGTGACATACAGGAGTATGGAGGAGACTTTGGAGAAAGAAATGGCAAGACAGAGTATAAAATATGGAGGGTAAAAATGAAAGGGGAAAAAACAATAAACAAACAAAAAAGTTAAACATGGCCACAGATGTGATAGTGCCCTATAAGAGGTCCAAATAAAAATGGGGAAGGGACCAGAAATGAGAAAAACATCGAAAATAGATAATTTCTGGAAAATGGGAAGGCTGACAGCACACAGATGGTCTTTGAGTAACATTAGACAGTGACATCAAAGAAAAGAATTATGAAAGAGAACAGGAATCTCAATCAGAGAGATGTCAAAGATGCAGTATGAAGAATGCATTCATAAATACAGGGTGTTTACTCCGGATTTCTTTTTTCTTTTTTTTTTACCTTGTATCCTGTAACAAGTCCTGGATCACAAACAGCTGCGGAGACAAGCTTTACTAGCAGGTCCTGTACTTCTCCCATGCTGTCCCCTATGTTTAGCAAACCCTCTTGAAGAACGCTCAGGGACGGGACATCCACATTCACATCAAAGCCAAGGACTTTACCAAAGTTACGCAGGAACTGCACTACCATGAGACAATCTGAGAATGTGCTTCCATCGAGGACAAGGCCTGGGATGCGAGGCAACTCTGGAAAAGGCTGACAAATAAAAAGAAACAGTGAAAGATTCAGTAGTGTATTTCAAAAGAAAACTTTTTTGATACTACCTAGGGACATGGGCTGCTACTTCCATATGACCTACAGCATGACAGTTCTAGAAGGTAAAGGCTACAGAGAAGCTGTCTTCCCCATCCCATCCAGTAAATTTACTGTAAAACTGAAGCACATTTACCTTTTCATATGTTATACAGGAGGCAAGAGATTAACAAATACTTTTTTGACCAGGAGAGGGTCTCAGGCTTTATTCAGAGTCAAAATACTATAAAAGGTGGTGTAAAAATATCGGGGGATATAAGGAGGGGAATTCTCTGGAACAGGTTGGGTTTGAACCTGTGGTATGTCAAGTCCTGAAGGACTAGAACTAAGAACACAGAAGACTGGGAGAGTAAATTTTTTGAGTGACAGCTTACCATAGTTGTACATGTGAGAAAAGCTCTATCTAGTGCCTATGGATTGATGCATATTCCTGCTATAAAAATAACCCAGAGTAATTGATTTTTTTTAAAGTAATCATGCAAGTACCTTTTGGGAAGCAAGCCACTTTTAAACAAAATGCTTTTAATTAACTAAACATATGCTACTTTAGTGTTTGTAGTAACCTGTATTTGTATATATTTCAAATAGCCATCTAATTATCGAGACCAAAACTTGAATGCTCTGGGAGTGGCTGCAAGAAAAAGAAGTTATTGTCACAATGGCAAAATACAGAACAAGAGGCAAGAAAACAAGTTTAGATGACTATGATTACCTTCTGGTCTGCCAAGCACATATCCTCGTTCGGCTTCTTTAGCTCCTTTGCCATTTCTAATTCCAATCTTCGCTGTTCCAGTTTACGTTCTTTATTTAACCTTTTTTCATCGCGTTTCTCTTGCTTTAACCTCTCTTTTTCCTTAAATAGAATTCAAAGAGCAGAAAATAAAACCCACATATTAAACTTACAATAGAACAATCTAAGAATTTGAAAAGCACTACTTATGTAATCTTAATAATTACCACAGCAATTAAGGAACCTGCATTCAAGTAAAGGGAAGGGGGAAACTACAGAAATAGAACAAAATCATCAAATTTGTGAGCAAATCTAAGATCGACTTTTTTTCTCTCCTGTCCCCATGGAAATGGGTACTCAGTATGTTTACACTGAGATACTCTCTGAAGTACCATTTCAGCAAGACAACCAAGTGAAAATATGGTAAAGAACTGCCATGCACACCAGGCATCTGACTTCACACACTATAATCAATACGGGTCTGCTAAAGCGGAGACCACTCAAGAAAGCAGCAGCTGGGAAGACCTCTCTGGACAACACATGGTTTAAAAATTCCTGTAATACATAAACTGGATGTGAATAGCTTATAAAACACAACCTGTCCTTTCAACCTACACAGCTTCTGGCCTTGAAGGCACCATGCACTTAGCACGCCACCTGAAAATGGAACAGGCATTAACATCTTACTCTGTATGACACAGAGGTAATCAAGGGAGAAACCAAGCACCTACTATTTTTCTCTTCGAACACCCTCTACATGGTGTCACACAGAATACGAATCTCTGACTGGCTAAGACTGACTCTGAACTGGAGCTCCAGTTGCCATTCCCATCCCCGAGTGCAGCGGTTCTGCAGTGACACGCTGGCCTGCCCACAGCGGGCTGCACACTCTGTGCAGGGGACATCAAACACAGAACGGTGAGTAAGAAGTCATGTATGGGATCTGCCATGAATCAGTGCTACCCCTGCTACCCCTTTAGATCACAGAACTGCATGCACATACAAAAACACGTGTGTGTGTGTGTGTGTGTGTGTGTGTGTGTGTGTGTGAGACAACCTAAGAACCTGACACAATATAAAGGCAAAGACACTGTAGGCACTTTTTACCTGCGGACACGGAAGGGCTGATGAACCAAGCTAAGCTGATTCATATTATTTAGAATCACTCCCCATTATTCTGTCACTTTAAGAGGTCACTCCAGTCTCTTCAGTTTACCATTATCAAATTTTGATTAAATAAGAGTATGGGATATAACTGCAAGTCAGAACTCAGCTGCATTTGTAGAACATCATGAACTGCTGACTTTGCTGTACAGTTCTGTCAGGCCCCATGACTTTTGATCACAGAATATCTGGAGTTAGAAGGGACCCAATAAGGACCATTGAGCCCAACTCCCTACTCCTCACTGGACCACTAAAATTAAATTATACCTAAGAGCATCATCCAGACACTCCTTGAACTCTGACAGGCTTGGTGCTGTGACCACTTCCCTGGGGAGCTTGTTCCAGGAACCAACCACCCTCTCAATGAAGAGCCTTTTCCTCACATCCAATCTGAACTCCCCCTGATGCAGCATCATTCCGTTTCCTCATGTTCTACTGCTGGTCACCAGAGAGAGATCAGCACCTTCCGCTCCGCTGCCCCCCTCGAGGAAGCTGCAGGCTGCAATGAGGGCACCCCTCAGCTTCTCTTCTCCAAGCTGAACAAACTAGGTGACCTCAGCCACTTCTTGTAAGTCTTGTCCTCAAGACCCTTCACCATCTTGGTCACCCTCCTCTGGACACACTCTAATAGTCTGATGTCCCTCTTATGCCGAGGTGCCCAAAACTGCAGTCCTCGAGGAGGGGCTGCAGCAGTGCGGCCCAAGGGGGACAAGCCTCAAGCAGCCAGTGATGCTGTGCTTGATGCGATTGCTCCTTCTGGCTGCCAGGGCACGCTGCTGACTCACATTCAACTTGCCATCAAACCAAAACCCTAGATCTCTTTCTGCAGGGTTGCTCTCCAATTTGTACATATAACCAG